ATAGATGTTATAATAAGCAATTCTTATGTGAATGAAGGTATGAGAAAAGAATTGAGAGTTCTTATGACCTATAAATTACCGATAGTAACAACATAAATTATTTCCACACTAACCTCCAATGTCAATGCTTCAACTTTAATACTAAGTTTATTGATAATAAACGCCTCTGTGTGGGTAAATATGGTGGAAATAGTGGCTTCATGATGGAGGTGAGTTTATGTAGAAACATAAGCGGCGTATGAGGTGTTGTTCTTAATGGTTATGAACCAGAAGGATATGGCTAAGAGATTGCTTGAAGATTTTGAATTTTCAAGCAGGGTGAGAGTGGATTGCTCACAGGAATGGGAGGTCAGCGTTTATGTAGAAACATAAGCGGCGTATGAGGTGCTGTTCTTAATGGTTATGAACCAAAAGGATATGGCTAAAAGATTGCTTGAAGATTTTGAATTTTCAAGTAGGGTGAGAGTGGATTGCTCACAGGAATGGGAGGTCAATGAGGACATGACATGGAAAGTGGTTTTTGAGATTGAAGAAAGAAGTGGGTTGGGCTATCGACAGGTTTGCAAGGGATGAGTTGGGCAGGCAGCTGAAAGCTTGTGTTGAGATAGAGTTCTTTAATATGGAGGAATGATATATAATTATTTAATTTGATTTCATACTTGTTATCTCAGGATGCCATAAAGAAAAGAAGTAAGTCTGGTAAATGTAAGAAAACCAGAATTTAGAAGTGTTGCACATTTATGTAGAAGGAAAACATACACATTAATTTCAGATGAGAAGAAAAGTGCAACGACTCTCGATCTCGGCCATTTCTTGGATTTATTTTGTAATTATATATAATTTGTATTATAAAGTATTCATCTACATTTTCATTTAACCATGAATAATATAAATATTCAGCTTGCAGTCTCCGGATGTAATTCTACATCCGAACACAGCACAAAAAATAACGAGTACAGCGTTCTAATTTTTGCAGTGTCCGGATGTAATTCTACATCTTAACTCCGCACGTAACATTATTCCTTGTAAGGAGCTCAGAAAAATTGGAGCTATTATTCATTACATTGAAGGAAGAAATCAAAACAAGCTGCTTTTGGCAATATGCTGCTATTGATTTGAAGCCATTCCATCTCTCCTAATGCAACAAAACTGGATAAGAAGTTTAGTTGAAGTGTGATGTTCAGCTACGCCGGTAATTTCTGTAGTCCTGCTGCTGCCTGATCATCTAAACATATCTCATTTTCCTTCATTTTAGTTGCGTCTTCAGGACTCTCCAAAAGAAAAACAGCTTTGAGAAACTCATATGAAGCGAAGAAAATTGCTCCTTGAGAGACATACATAGCTAACCTTGGAGTTAAGCCCCTGAAAATGAAATGTCAAACCAATTAATTTAAGCAAACTTGATGGGGAACATCAGGGGTACATTCCACAGGTTTAGTAAGAAATAGGCACACCTGTATAGACCCTGCAAGCCTTCTTGTCTGGCAATTTCTTGAAGCGCCACTTTAAATTCAAATTTGCTAATTAATTTATATAATGTGGATGAAAAAAATGCAGTGTCTATAAAAGGGTAACGTTACCTCATCTTTCTACTAGCAAAGAAGCATAATAATCACGAACTGTGTTGGAGAAACTACTCCGAAAGAATCTACTAGTTTTACCGCGGAATAGAATCATAGGATTAAAAAAAAACGGAATAATAAATTTAAGCATAAAAGCAACATCGTTAGTAATCTAATTTGTAGGATAAGCAAACGGAATAATAAATTTAAGCATAAAAGCAACATCAGAACAACTAGAAAAACATACGAGAATTTACGTGAAAAAACCCGAAAAAGAGAAAAAACTACGGAACCATGCCACCACAAATTTATAAGAAAACAATACAGTTTTACAAATGACTTACAAAAGTTTCTTCTCCAAACTCACACGAAGAAACTTTTAGGACACTCCACAACCTTCTTTCTTCGATCCGATGCGAACAAAACACACTGAGATCTCAAAAATCCTCACTCCAACTCTTCTCTTCTTCACCAAGAACTTGTTAAAGAACACCCGAGGAAATCCTACGAAAGATAAGCCGCTAGAAATCGGCTTAACAAAAGAAATTTTAGGTACCAACCACTCAGGGCCTCGATAAATAGAATCACGCCCAACTGGGGGGGGGGGGGGGGGGGACGGGGCGCCCCCCCCCCTTCTCTGTCGAGCACCTAAACATAGGCACAGAAGCAATGCCCACATGGTAGGCGCTCGAGTGCCCAAGCCCAGTTTCTCGGTCTTCCCTGAGTGCTTTGGCTCGACAAGACTAACACTGTTAAGCTAAAAATACAATAGAATAAACAAAGAATGGTATACAGAGTCTAGTCCAATTTGTTTTCAGTATTGCTCATAGTATATAGAACCTACAGTATGAGAGATTACATAGTTGAAGAAAAGCAATGGAATAGAAGCAACAAAACAAATTAACATAGTTGTTAGAAAGAGACTGATAAAAGCACAGTACAAGAGCTGCACCATGCTAGTGATTGCACAAGTGAGGTTGTTAACAGTGCCCTAAAAATGAATTGAAAGGTGGACAAGCCCTTTATAGGTATGTCTACCACCTGCTCCAGTGTTGCAATGTGCCAAACAACAATCTTTATGGAAGCAATGTGATCTCGAGGAAAATGATTGTCAATTTCGATATGCTTAATATAGATGCGGAAGATTGGATTTATGACAGACATTGCCAAAATATTGTCACAGTAAATAGGGGTCGGTTGAGAGGTGAAGAAACCAAGTTCACAAATGAGATGACACGACCAAATGATTTCAATTGTTGCAGCAATGAGGGTCCTATATTCAGCCTCAATGGAGGAGTGCACTACAATGGTTTATTTCTAAACACTCCAAAAAAAAGAGTATTGCCAAGAAAAGTGCAACAACCTCTTGTAGCATCATCGATCATTGGGATTACAAGGCCCATTAGAATCGGAGGTAAAGTGTGAAAACACTAGTTGTAATGGGAAAACCATAATATATAATGGCTTTAAGATAGTGGAGAACCCGTTTGAATAGTTGATAGTGACCTCTGAGGGGAGAGTGCGTATGTTGGGAATGTTGATTGACAACATGCGATATTTGGACGTGTAATGGTTAACTAATGTAAGCAACCAGTCAAACAACAATAGAGGGTGATGTTTGTAAATGGCTGTTGAGTAATGGCATCGAGATGTTTGGAAGAGAGGAGAGTAGATATAGATATACCACTTGCCATGCAATTTAATGCATATGATATAGATTTGGGGAGTTCGGTATTGAGAAAGAAAGTAGCCTTTGTGGGTACAATGCAATCTAATGCATATGAAAAAGGAACTTTCATGTTAGCATAGATTTAGATTTTGAATTAGGTGGGAGATGGAGTTGTCTGAACCAGTGATGAGAATGCCGTTGACATCGATAAGAAGGAAAATATGCATTGTCTATTTTGTGCACTTCAATTAAACCATTTTGTTATAGAGTAAAAGTTCAATTGAGTTGGTTGGTTATGGTTATAACATTAGAAAGAAGGTGATTGTGAAAATAATGGTAGAGATATTAACTTCCATCGTCTGAAAAATAAGATTTTATGTGAGAGTTGAATATATTTTCAATGAGCATTTGAAATTAAACAAAATGATGTAAGGATTCAGCTTTGTTAAACATAGGAGTAAGACAACTAAAATAAGAAATATTCGCTGAAAAAAGTACATAATTTTTATAATTTTGTAAGGAAGTAATTGGGGAGGAACCCCAAACATTTGGACAAACAAGCTAAAAAGGACTTTTAGCTGCAAGTACAAATTTATTGAAAGGTAAACCATGACTCTTGGCTGGCTGACACAAATTACAAGGAGATCTATGCTGTGAAATGCATAGAGAGGCATTCTATTTAGAAATTGCTTGAAAAACATCTATGTGGGGATGGTGCAAGCGCTGATGCCTAAGATTGGTAGAGGAAGTAGTGGAGCGTAGAGATCCGATGGATGAGATATGACATAGGTCATGGTGATTGTGACATTCAAGAAGTGGGTTGGAGATCAGATCCTTGATAGTGAAGCCATTTGAATCACATGACACAATTATTGTCAGCAACAAGGTTATGTGAGAGATGAGAAATGTGTATGAGAAGAGAGCGGAGGTGCTTAAAAGTAGTGTGGGGAGGATGTCGCGACCAGCAGGACTGATGGGTAAGGAAGAGCCATTTCTAATAGTGACTTTTTCAATGCCATTATACTTTGATAGTTGTTGAACCTGATCAAGTTGCAGGGTGAGACGGGAAGTATGTCGTCCAAGATCTAGTCGCCAATTGGTGAGGAGCCGTCAACAACTAAGGTTGTCGAATTACTTGTTAGAGTGGGAGAGAAGGATTTTAGGTTGGCCCGGTGCCAAAAGATTAATGCACCGTGCCCTTAATTTTCAATTAAACCATTTTGTTATAGAGTATAAGTTCAATTTTGTTGGACCGAGGGGCTGTTTGATCGTTACTTTTTTTTAGATGGAATGGATTGGCCCGGTGCCAAAAGATTAATGCACCGTGCCCTTAATTGCAAATTAGACAAATGATACTAGGTTGTAGTGGGTCAACAATTTTGTTGGACCGAGGGGTTGTTTGATTGTTACTTTTTTTAGATGGAATGGATTGGCATCTAGCCCGTTGAAAGCTGCAAGATACTCGACCCTAATAGAGAAGGGAGCAAACTAAGAGGTTGATTGATCCATAACAGTGTTAGCAGCAAGGTTGATTTTTTCATTATAGAATCTAGACTTATGGGTTCAAGTTTAGTACGGATTGATGTTTTAAATGATTCGTGGGAGGATGGGAGACAGTTAAGAATGTGAATCGCATTTCTTCGGATTCAATTTTAGAACTAGCTGTCAGGATTTGGTCAATAAAAATTTTAATTAGACTAGATATTGGGTCAAGGTCCTATTTTATATAGAAATGTAGTGGAGATTATTCTTGAGTCAAATAACTCAAGAGCGATTGGATATAGATTGTGCCAATTATATTTGATTGTGCCCAAAGAGAGGACATAGGGTAGAATGGAGGGGAACATTGTAGAGAAAAGAGTTGCAGAAGGATAGAGTGGTGTGGATTAAGAGAGGAAGTAACAATTTGGCCTTGAAAGAATGAAGGAGGGCATGGAGAGAACCCCAACATAAAAATAATCAAAGCTATTTTCATCAATAGCTTGAGGAACTAAGAGCGCTACATGAGGTAATTCTAAGGGGTTAAAAGAGTAGTGGCCAATGACTCTACATCGGCCATCAGAAATATGAGGTGGGGTTATCATGTCAGTGGAATGAAAAAGTTGATGTTCACCCATCCTACTACTTGAGGGGGAAGATGATTCCATGAAGCAGTGAAGACGGGAGGGACTAGGGTAGCTGAATTAAGCTCTGACCCCATGGAATAATGTTTATCTAAGAGTAACTATTCTGTATCATTCTATTAGCAGCGAAGCAAATTAATCACAAACTCTACATCTAAAAATATATTTGAATAAACAGAGAAATGTAGACAGAGTCTAACCCAATTCATTTTCGGTATTCCTCACATGATAAAGAAGCTACTGAATAAGGAATTAAATAGTTGATGAAGGAGAGCAATGGCGCTGTAGCAACAATGCAGATTTAACACAGTTGTTAGAAATTAACAGTTGTAAGAGCACAACACGAGGAAATGCTCCACGCTAGTGACTGCACATGTTAATACTTGCCACTAGCATGGAACATTACAGTAAATAAAATCAATCTGAAATGGAATTCAACCAGTGCAAATACAATCAGTAGAGAAAGGCACTATTAATTGAGGAGGCAATAAAATTCAGAAAGATAAATTCACCTGTATTTGCAGCCTAGTCTTCACCACATCAAAGGGAGTTGTAAAAAGAGCAGCAGTGGATCCAGCAAGACCTCCACAAAGAAGCTGTCAATTATCATCATCGCCATTGTAAACATGCTTCTTGGATAACCAAAGACATTAAATGAGAGAAAGCCGTGAACCAGCATGCACAGACACGCTTCTCAGATTCAGTAAGAGTTCCACAAAACAAGTAGGCTACTAGTGCTAGTTTACAATGAGTGCACAAATGGCAAAATGAGTTCAAAAATTTTTGTCAGTGGCGAAGGAGCAACAGCACCAACAAGCTGATAAAATAAAAGCCAGATGGATATTTGCTCAAAAAAAGCTTTAAAATATGCATTATGCGATCAGATCTTTTACATTCACCAACAAGTGCCTCAACCAAATGAAAGCCTTCTTAAGGTACTGCTTATTAATCATGAATTAATCACAGCTATAAAGTTCATGCTTCATAACAACATAAATTAAGGCAACGCCATAAACTGACTACTTGGATGGTAATCAGAAATAAACAATCACTTCAAGAGCAAGAAATATATTAGTATCAACAAGAAAACATGAATCATTTCTGTAGACATTCAACAATGATGGTAAATTCATCCTTCTACCTCAACATAAAAAAAATCAACTGGAAGTAATAATGCCATGCGTTGCAGAGAAGAAGTAAAACTAACCGTCTGAAGAGCCTGGAGGTTAGAATCAGGATATGCTGTTGAGAAAAATTGCTTCAAACTTTCATAGGTATAGAACTGCAAATCAATAGAACTATTATTTTTTGCTGTGAATATATTTTGCATGTCCAGACAACCGGAATTAGTCTTTCATTAACTTATTCGAAAAGCTTGAAATATTGTATAAATAAAGTAAATGACCTTAATAATAGAGTGAGGAATGTTCCTGCAAAGTACTGCACCCCATCCTACATACAATGAAGGAATGCCACCCTTTCGAAGGCATCCTAATAAAGCTTTCCTGTAAAGATAGGCCATGAGTTAGAGCTGAAAATGAAGAGCAGATTATGCAGCTGGAGAAATAATACTTTTTCATTCTAAGGCAATTCAATAAATTCAAGGAAATGAGGACAAGAAAAGAATACATAAATGAAGAAATATTACAATAATAGTAATCCTAATAAGGTGTTTTGATGAGAAGCCATTATTTGGTCCTCTTTAGCACATGTAAAGTTCCTAATGGATATCTATTCCACACTCTGCACTGCCTTGTGCAGATAATTTACCAAACAAAAACTCCAAAATAGTGTATGACTAAATAAAAATTCCCTAAAATGCATAATTAAGGTTTGTTATTTAGCAGGACAAAAATGCTAAAAGTAAGATACGAGCTGTAACTCAACTAGCATAAGATGCATGCTATTTACTGCAATAGGAATAAAGCCAATACATTTATCCTCACCATAAAAAATTGTTTCTAATGTGACATAAATATCAAGTTTATCAGAAACATCACCACCGCCACAGAATCTTACCAACAGTTTTGGTATTGTGAACTAACTTGCATTTGCTGCTTTATACGTTCGCTGGGAGTATAGACAAATGAGGTTGCAATACTTGAACAACCACCAGCAATACAATGTGCAATAGAATGATATTCCTGGGCAGGAGAAAATAAGTGAGAAATCAAAATAGTAATTGAAAAATATGGAGTCCATACAAAACGAGTCATAAAAAAGCCCACCTTAGGCAAAAGAGGAAGAAGATTACACTTAACAGATTCATAAGTGAAAGTATAAATTGCAGAAATCGGTGCGGAAGAAGTAATATTACTAGCTATTCCCCGGTAAAGTCCAAATATCCCTGCCAAGTCAATCAAAATAAAACTTTATGAAAAGCTCCATCTTCAATAGTCAAATTCATTAGCAGCATCATTCAATATCGAGATACTCCCTGGTCCTACTAAACGTGAAGGCTAAGAAAAATAAAGTTGAGGATTTTACCATGTTGAGATATGATTCTTCTGAGAATGCCATAAAACGATTTCTGACCCATTTCATTTGCTTGAATGACAGTCTTAATTGTATCAACAGGATGCAGACAAAGTGTAACCAGTGTTCCAGCCAGTGCTCCGGCTACAGCATGCCTATTGTTAGAGAAGGCACGTTGAAGCTTATTTTGTATAACCAACCAAGACTTCGGGGAAAAATCTTCTATAAGGGAAAGAGCCAAAGAACTTATCCTTTTTACAAGTCTTTTGATAATTCCTAGCAGATGCTTCTTCTAAAGATTTAGATACCGCGCTGGTAGAGTTTATCCACTTCTGGCACTCATTAGATTCTAAAGTTGAAGTTGTTACCTCCATATCACTAGTAGGTTGGAGTCCAGAACTTGATTGTCTCAAAATGGTTATGGCCTCCTTTGTACTAGTTGAAGGCTGGAGTGTGTGATCAGAAGAAAGAGAGCTAGTGGGCTTCTGTCCATATTTGTTTGAGTCTGAATTTCTTATGACAAAATCTGTTTCTTGGGATTTGCCAAAGTTTTCTGTACCTTGAATGTCAGGTGAGTCAGAACAAACTTTGCCAATGGTGCAGCTTTCATCAATTTCATGGCACTGACTTTTAATAAATTTTCCAATATCTTTTATGGCGAAGTAATGCTTGGGGGTCATATTGGTAGCTGTTTCTGCCATACTACTGGAAGAATCTATGTTTGGCTCTCCATCTGCTCGATTGGTTTCTCCAGTTAAAAAGGCAGTGCTCTGAAAATTGAAGCTGTTAAAGTTCCTATTACATGAAGCCAAAAACAGCATTTTCTTTATCCTTTTTAGATTTTCAAAATTGTTCATTGATGTATTTGAGTATTGGGGTCTAATATCAGCATTTTTCTGAAAGATCTTGGCACCAGAATATACTGCTGGTACATCATTTTCAGTGTCCAATCGAAAGATGATATCTTTTTCATAAAGGTTATCATATTTAAGGAAATCTTTGGATGGAAAAATTGCAGGATGGCCTACAAAATCCCATATCCCTGCCGCAACGGATCGAAAATGTGAAATTGTAAGCCCTTTGCTTGATCTTCTATCCGACAGCAGACCACATTTTGGGCTAGAAGTTGAGGGTGAACAAAAATTCTTGCGCAGGACAATATAATCTGGTTCCAAGGTTTGCACCTCCAATGGAATCCACCAGTATTTAAGGGAAGATTCACCATTTTTGGAGGACTGGCATTTGTCAGCCATTTTCACAAACTTTGGGCTGAAAATATGAAGATAAACCAACAGTAAGAGTAGCTTGTTACAACAAGTAGAGATACTATAATATAATATCCTTTAAACTAAACATGGATGTGGCGTAAACAATTAAGTATGAGCATAATGACTAACCAAATATGCTAAAAATACCAGGGTAAGAAATGCCACCTAAATATTCAAAGTCCACTGAAAGAATATCCAACTGTAAATGGTTTTCAGCATTTACTGTAACTCAAGCACGTACTTTAAAAGAGTTTCTTTATGCAACTTTAGAAGCAAGCAAAACTAGAAAGTAGGATAGATCTCAGTGCACAGCAACCTAGCTTAGTAAACCCCTAGGATGAATAATTTTTTTTAGATGCAAAGCTGTTAATAAATTTTGACCTCTAGCCGACCCCACTTAGAAGGATAATGGTTTTGTTGTTGTTGTTGTTGTTGTAGATGCAAAGCTGTTAATAAATTACAGCATTCTCATCCAATAACACTCAAAGAACATCAGAAAATAAGATTTAGTAAAAAATGTTCAAGAAACTAATGATTAAGCTTCAGCAGTTCACCAAGAAATGAAGTCATGTCAAAGTAAGATTTGAATCACAACATGATCTTGCTGGAGAGAGTTTTAACTACTGGAAATTTAAACAAAAAGACACCAAGCTTTTATAATATGGGCAGTTCTAACTCATGTTAGAAGTCACATAGAGTATCTTTAGTGTAAAACTTAATCTGAATTAATGATATCTCAAGCTTAAGATGCATTTCCATAAAAAAGTATGCATATTTGTAAAAGCTTGAATTGTAAGAATCTCCATTGATTAAGAACTATTTCCTAAGCAAAGCATGATTCCTAAGACACAAAAAAAAAAATAATATTAATAATAATAATTTCAAAAAGACATAAATCAATTTGACTGAAAAATGAAAAGTAATCAAATAAGGCAAGATTGGTTTGACTGACCTCCAGAAAAACAACAAGCGATCAAACAAAGTCCTTGCAAGAAACTAGTCAAATCAGAGAGCAAATGTCTTGTGGGCCGACTTGGGCTGACCTGCCCAACATGATCTTCTTTCTCTTCGCACGGGAAAAGAGCATGAAAAAACAAAATAAAAAAACACCAACCTCATCGACACTGCAACCACTGAAGCACAAACCAACAACCTCTTTGTTATAAGCCTGCCTTGGATTGATCACAATAAACAGTAAAATTTCAGATTTTATTTGAGCCGCTTAGTCTCAATGCTCTTCCTTGTCATGAGACATCTAAAAATATTCCTCTTACGATGAAAATACTTCCTTGACATTCTTAGCCAACACAGGCGTTTATTTCAGGAAACACCAAACATGAAAATTTTCTCTTAAGTAGGTTAGTAGTCACTTGAACTGGCTTAGGTCCAACAAGTTTAGCCAAGGTTGGACAAAAATAATACTTGTTAGATTCTAATTTGCAAAAATTTCAATGATGTGATGTTGATGATCTCTATCACCTATTATTGATAATTATTAAACTAAAGTTCAATTTAATCACATCACACTTAATGAAGTATACAAATGAACCCATTATTCAATTCATTAAGGAGACATGCACAAGTTTTCATTTTGTTGATAGATTTAAGCCCATTCTATATCTTTGTAAGTGACAACCAATCACTTATTGGTGTGCTTGCTTCTATTGGGGCCCATATTCAAGCAACATGCAATAATTGACCTATCATTGACACAACCAATGGACCTACTACTATCACTGATAAGATATCTCATGGCTAATTGGTGTAACAATCACCCACAATCTACCCCTAAATTCGCCTTCTAGGATTAGCATTGACCGCAATAGTCTTTTCATAGTCATTATCCTAGTCAACCACCATCATCCCCCTTAAATCTGTGGTATCCACTATCCACCAAACTAAGACTTTCCTTTGTTGTCACATTTAAAGTATGGTACATGCTTTTTATAGATCAACTGCAATATTTAGAATTGGTATCACGACACCTAATAAGCTACCATACTTACTACATTCATGTCAACCATAATTAATACTTTTAAGCTTGTCACAATTGCCATCAGCGAGAATGCCCATGTTTCATGTTCCAGTCTACCATAACCATTACCTTTTGATCGGTTGTAATTCACCCTAAAGCTTATCAAAATCTCCAACTCTAAGATTGTCATTTTGGCCCCCTTTAGCCACTGTTGTAGGCATCTAAATTTTTTCAATATCAGTAACCCTAAGGTTTGATACAGACTATATTAGTTAATGTCGCTATTACTTTCTCCAAGCCTACAATCACTGCTTCCATTAAACTCGATGCAATTGCCATGTTCGATAAAATAAGCCTACAATCACTGCTTCATTAAATAAGTCTTTCAATATTGAAGTCTATCAACTTAATATTCATTCAAACTGATTCCAAAGATTGTAACTACATAACTTGATTTATATTTAATTTTATATATTGGTGGTTAACTTAACTCAAGATTAATTCATCACACTATATTGTTCCAAAAATTTGTAACAAACTAAAAAATGCTACCTACCATGCCCAAGCACCATATATAAAATGATTACAGTGTGTTCATCCTACAACAAGTAACAATAAAAATGGAGAGGAAGATAAAGGGAAAGAACAGGGATGTTATCCAAAAAAAAATTCAGTTTTTTGCAGTAAAAGTTATTCAACTTTAAAAAAAAGTGATGTTATTTTTCAATTGAGCTGCAGAAGCTCTTGTTCATAGCATGAATAAATCTCATTTAGACTCTTACAATAGAAAGGAGTAGAGTAACTCCAAAAATATCATCTCCTTTTCTCAACTGACTCACATTCATAATGGGTGATTGCATTTCCTCTCAATTAGATACAGTAACATCTTTGTCCATATCTTCAACTTTATATGAGTATAATCCCTTATGAACTCCTTTTAAAGTTTAGTGAATTATTCAATATTTATGCATCCAAGAACTAAGGCTTATTTTAGCTAAATGACATAAATATTAATATAATCTTTTATGTCTCTTGATATCTTTTGTAGCTATTTTATAATTCATCGTACTTACTCCTAGATGTATTAGGAGTCTTTATCAACAATTCAATTGTTGTACTTGCTCCTAGTTGATGGCATTCTTTTTCCTAATAACTTTACCATAGATAGATTATGGAAAGCAGAGATTAAGAAGTTTGATGACTCAAAGAATATTGGCCTTTTGAGAACAAAGATGTATAATGAACTTGTTTAATATGGACGTGTAAAAGCACATTTGAGCCATAGCAAAATGTTTAAAATTATAAGCGAAGAAAAAGAATTAGAGATGTATTAGGAGTCTTTATCAACAATTCAATTGTATTTAATGGTGAGGACATCACACACATTTAAATTAGTTAATGTAACAAATTTGTAGTTTACATGAAGAAAAATATTGATGTGATTAATGATGATGATGATAAAGTATCATTACAATTGTGCCCATTTATTTTAGGACATTTTAAGATATTATGTTATATGATCATGATACAAAAAGCTTAAAATATATTGTGAATTTAAAGCTTTCAAAGTAGATGCATTTTAAACTCGAGGAAGCAATAAACTAGTTGAAGATTTATTATAATTAGAAAATGATCTTATATGTGATGTTTCTTTTATAATAATAAAAAGAGTAAAATTTAGAATAAATTCAAAAAGATTACTTCTATTATAAGAAGAAAGAACAAATAAATAATAATTATTTACTTCTAGTAAAACAGAACAAGAAGCAGATGATAACTACAAGAAAATTAAGTCAGTTGATGCAAGTATTATTACAAATTTTTTATGGTTATGAAATGGTGATACTCTTTTAGTAACAATCGATAAGATGTAAAGAGTGGTGGAATCTAGATTCATCTTACTCAATACATTATATTTTCAATTATTTTTAATATATAAGTCAGCTATTATATTTGTGTTTACAAGAGAAACAGAGCAATATGCAAGACTGAAGGTTCTAGCATTATAAAGTTAAAAGTGCATGGTGGTGTAACCAAATCACTTGTTGAAGTATAAATCAAATTTGAAGAAAAATCTAATACCTTTAAATTCTTTTGACGTTGCAGGATATAAATTCTTCGGGGATGCTAATGCTCCTAACATCTATAAAATGCATTGGTTGCTTTCAAGGCAACAATTGTTACTAAACTTTGTCATGTAGAACGCAATGGCATGTATTAATGTGTTGAATTCAACAACCATGGAGGTACTCATGAAAACAATAATGATACTAAGTATATGATGTCATATACTAAAGAAATGAAAGCAGTCATGAAGTATATTATTGATGATTCTAAAAGAGCAATGCAAAATAAAGTTCCCATATAGTGGGAAATTATAAAAAATAGAGCACTTTTCATAATAAGCAAGAATTTAGAATATATGAGAAACATAAATATTAAGATAAAATTTGGCAAGTTTGACACAAAAGAACTAAGGAATTCGAAAGTTTCAATTAATCTCAACGAATATGAAAAGTGCGTGTCGCACAAAGAAATGATCAAATACAAACATTGAGCTGATATATTAGAAATTAAGAATCCAGGCGAAAGATTCAAAGTTTCAATTAATCTCAATGAATATGAAAAGTACGTGTCGCACAAAGAAATGATCAAATACAAACATTAAGTTGATATATTAGAAATTAAGAATCCAGGCGAAAGATTATTAAGTGTGGAGTCAACTTTCATTACTATCTTTAATAAGAATTTATCTTTATTTTTCAAGATTGGTGGGTACCAACTAAAGATTAATTCAAATATAATTTTCAATGATAGATGCTACATAATTCATTTCACATTTAAGTTGTCAAGAGGATGACTAACACAACTCGAAGTTTATTCGTTCACACTTGATTTTTCAAGTTAATGGTTAATAAACTCCAGCTTCATTAATTTCAAAGGTGCTACCAACCATATCTACGTATTATATAAAGAGATGATTGCATTGTGTTAAGCATCCTACAATAAG